GGATCACGATGGCTTAGCCCTCCACAATGCATCAAATCTATATCAGAAGCATCTGGGTGTTTGAAACTATGCTGTGCCTTCAAGGCCTTAGCCTTCTGCCCCACAGCAGGACTTTACAGAACCCGTTGGGCTTAATGATGTCCAGCTCCTGCTGCTGGTGGCCCACTTGGTTCTGCCACGGCAATGTGTGATCTCCCACCCAGCTGGCTTCCCTCGGATAGCACTGTTGTTCACCCAGTCAGGAAGGCCTACATATGAGGATGGTCCACCTCCAACATGCTGTCCTCACAGCTGCTGCCAATATCTGAATTCTTCTCCAGCTCCATTCCCTACGTTGAGTTTGCCTCCTGCCCTTTTCCCTAACCAACCAGACCCCACCACCCCACAGCTCAAAGATACGAAATAACTCCCTAGAAATGCCTAGAACTATATTTCTTAATTTCCAAATACAGTCAGTCAGTCCCAACTTATAATGGTTTGAAATACAGTTTTTTGACTTTATGATAGTGTGAAAACGAAACACATTCAGTAGAAACCACCCTTCAAAGTTTGAATTTTGGTCTTTTCCCAGGTTAGCAATATGAGGTAAGATACTCTTTCCTAATGCTGGACAGTCAGCCATGTGATTATGAGGGTCCACAAATGATACACTTATAGCTATTCTTGTTTTCACTGTCAGTGGAATATTAAAAAAATACATGATATTTTGAATACTTTATTATAATATAGATTTTGTGTTAGATTATTTTGTCCAACTGTTGGCTAATGTAAGTGTTTTGATCACATTTAAAGCAGGCTAAGCTAAGCAATAATGTTCACAGGTTAGGTGTACTAAATGCATTTTTAATTTATGATATTCTCAAATTATGATGGGTTTATGGGGTGGGGCATAACCCTTTTGTAAGTTGAGGAAGACAGACATGTGTAGATTTTTGTAATTGTCTTTTTTCCCTGACTTTATTGTGCTTTGGAGCACATCAGAGATCACTTCCAATCAATTTTGTAGCTTGAGGTTTCCTTGGCCAGGTAGTCCTTGCACACAGGGGTACAAATCCATGTGAAAGCCTAATTGTGCCCCTTAATTTATAACAATAAATATGTTTCCCTTCCTTTTTTTCTTTAGTTACTTTGCTCAGTCTTAACGCAGCCTTTACTAGTTTTGGGGACAGTGATTGGGGTTAATTCTTGTCAACCCTCATCCAAGGGAGGGTGGTCCTTTATGGTACCAGCTTATTGCGGAAAAGCTTCCGGCTTAATTTAAAGAGATGCCTGTGGGTCCAGAAAGACTTCTACCCACCCTAACAGACTGGTCCCTGGACTCCACCTAAATGATCCCAAATTCTGAAATCAAGGGTATAGAATATGCAAATATGCTGCAGGGGGGAAAAAATCAGTTCTCTGATATTTTGTGTATCATTCCTGGGCTTGGAAAAGGAGTTGCATTGGAGGAAATGAAAACAAGTAATATAAACATAATTCTTGTGAGACATTTGTCCAAGAAAGGAAGCAGCAAAATGACCAAAAGATGAGTGGCATAGAGTTTAGGGAAACTTGTCATTCTAAGATCAGACAGATTTAAACTTACTTTTACTTGACTTTCTATTTCCAAATCTAATTACTTATTTTACAGCGTCTGAGTTTAGGATTTGATTTTGATTGGTCAGCTGGTTTTTATTGTTGTTGTTGTTGTTGTTTTTAAAGTGGCTGCCTGTGAAAACATGTTTGTGCAGTCAGTCTAACACATCTTTCCGGAAAATCAAGTCCAGGAATCACATTTAATGCTACCAACCATTCATTAATGAAGAATTATTATTTTTCAATACTTATTTTTGGATTATAAGGTGGAAAAGGGGAAAACGTGAACTTCTTAGTTGGATATTCTTTTTTCTCCTAAAACACATACAGAAAATTTTCACATTTTTCATGTGGTCCCTTTTTCTTACTGCCTATCAATATATCACCTATCATCACTCTATCTATCTACATCTACCTACTTCCTTGCATATTTACTGTATTCATTAGTCAATGATAAACAATACTACACAGGGAGACTTTTTCTTTCTTAATATGGGCACAATACTTCCTACTAGGCTCACTATTTTTTCCCTTACTAATATTCTAATTTCCCTCCATGCGTTCAAAAAGCACTCACTGAAGGCGTAATGTATATTGAAGGTCAGGGACACAAATATGAAGGAAGAACTTCTCATAAATCAAGAGGGGGAAAATAGTGTTATGGAGGATACAATCTTGCAGGTAAATATGTGTTAGTCGATAGTTACTAAATAGTTACTAAGAAAAGATGAAAAATAGCAGGTATGAAAAAGAAAGATGAACCCTTTAATCGGTTTCTAAAAGGGAAAGTATGCTTGATATAGACTTTGACATTTGGTAGGGCTTCTGCAAATGGAAGAAATATCAAATTGGGCATTGCAAGTTGCTCTTCTGAAATACCTCATGATGGATATGTGACTGAACAAAGTCATATGGATAAAGATTTATACTGGAGGGAAAGAAGGTAAAAAGTTGCCATCCTATATATGGTAGCCATAGACACATAATAAAATATTCTTTTCATTAGATTTTAGGCATATTGATATTGTCCGTAGACAAATTCAGAGAATGGTCTATATGTATCACAGTGAGAGAATAAATGAAGTCACTTCTACAGACCACTGAGGACTCTGAGCCAAGTCTGCTTTTGGATTGGTTCCCGGAGCTGCCATTGATTTCAGTAGGAGTTGCACACACAAATCTCGACATTGAAACTAGCTGATGGACAGGATGTTATTACAAAAAGCAAATCTGTAAGATGTTTCAAATATCAGTAACAGCCAAAAGGGAAAAAAATGGCAGTTAATCAAATGTCAAAGCAACACCATGTAGAGACAGTTTTGGCCCCAGAAAAGTACAGGCAGTTCCTTGTGACTGAGTCAAGTTTCATCATCTCAAGACTAAAATACATGACCTTCTAATTTTGAAAGGAGAGGATTCGACCAAATGGCAAATCAGTTTAATCTGCTTTTAAAAAAATTATATGTCTGGGGAAAAAGTAAAACCATGGAAAAGAAATGAAATGTATAAAAACATATGAAAAACATAGCACTGTGACTTAGTGAATATCTATAGTTGAGAAACACAGTCAGAGGGACTCTTTCAAACTGTGAATCTGGTTATGTCACCTCCTCTGAGGGAACTCTTCAGTGGCCTTTTTTCTTACAAAAGATACAAAATGTCTTAACACGAATCTCAAAACTGTGCATGGCCTGGCTCCCACCTAACTGTACAGGATCATCTCCAGCATGCTGGTCAGGCGCACACCCTGCCCTCCAGCCCACAGCTTGTCTACAGTCCTCATGCTTTCTGGCATCTAAGGTCCATTATAGAAACAATTTCTCCTTCCTGGAAGGCTCTTTCCTTCCCTCTTAAACTAACCCCTATCCCTCCATTAGCTCAGTCATCTTTTCCTTAAATAAGTGAACCAAGTCAATTTCTCCACTATCAAACTCACAGAAATATGTTCCTTTACATTTTGTCCCTCCCTTTGCTAGTCCATAACCTCTACATAAAGACCATGTATGTATTGATCATCTTTTTGTCTCTAGTGCCTAGAACACTGCCTCTACCTTAGGAAAGAAACTCAATAAATATTTGCTGAGTGACTGAATGAGTAAATGAGACATCAGGGCAAATGTTAGTAACAATCACCCTAATACTGGTTGAGTTCTTTGAAGGCAAGAAATAGATAACAATCTTCTCTTAGTAGACTGACCAAAAATTATTAATTCATCTCTTATTCAGAGAAGGGGGCTTATACACCCTTCCCCAATAATTATGATTCCCATTGACAGATATCTATGGAACACAGAGAGATCACTCTTATATCTCTATTCTGTCTTTGCTATTTCCAATGTGAAAAGTATCACTCAATACAGAAAATACTAGATTGTCTATATGGATAGAGACTTGCAATCACTCTCTAAGTGACTTTCTTTTTTTTTTTCTCCCCCTTTTACTTTATTTATTTTTCAGAGAGGGAGCGAGCGTGAGCAGGGGAGGGGTAGAGACAGGGATAGAATTCCAAGCAGCCTCCATGCTGACAGTGCAGATCCCAGGGACTGTGAGATCATGACCCGAGCTGAAACGAAAAGTCAGACACTTACCAGGCTGAGACGCCCAGGAGCCCCCTAGTGATTTTCTAGGAGCAGATTAAATACATGAAAAAGTTGAAATTTCTAGTGGATGTAGTCATAACTACCTTAATATGCAAGGAAAAATAAGCTTTAATACTCATAATATCAATTATCAGATCATGAAGCACTAAAAATAAGCGTTGGCAAGGACACTGAGAATGACTCATTAAAACAAACAAAACAAGAATAAATCCTGCAAGGGAGAACTTCAAAATATTCTTGATGCTTGTGATTAGCTGAGCATACCGCTGTGTTGGCACAATGGGGTTGCTTTTAGTGAATTCCAATCCTGGAAAGATTCAAGAAGGTATTATAAAATTCTTAGCAGCTTAATATTAATAGAAGTTTTTAAACAGTGTTATGTTTAAATGTGTTGTCTTAAAATTTTCAGTGGGTAAGAAACATAAAGCGATTTATTATTAACATCGGTAGTCTGTGTGTCATGAGAGCCTGAGGCCCTGAATTGTAATTAACAGAACAGAATTAACTCTCATCCCCCCCCAAAAAAAGAGAAAAGAAAGAAAGCACAATAGGAGAATAAGAAAAAAGTCTAAAAACAACTGTAATAGACAAATAGCATTAACACCAGAAAGCCCAGAGACACTTAAAAGTGATGACAGCCCTTTAAAACAGTGGCAAGCAAATCTAACCATCTGTTTCCAGAAACAGAACTTAGCCAAAGGTGTTCCAGGCCTTTGTAGAATCATCAGTGAATCAAGTACACAATCTAATGTATCTATGGGCAACCAGAAAATATATAAATAGAATAGTACATTTTGACATAGTTATGTCTTCAAAATCACTTATTAATGATATACCTTTGAAAATAAAGAAAAAATCATCCTCAAACTATATCAGAATCGGGCATTGTGAGGAATGTTATCACAGCATGCCAAGCTGTGAAAGAAATCCAATATTATGTAAGATAATCCATATAGTAATAACCTATTGGATTTATATTATAAGTAGGTATTTTATTTTATTATTTTTTTTATTAAAAAAAATTTTTTTTTCAACATTTATTGTTTTTTGGGGACAGAGAGAGACAGAGCATGAACAGGGGAGGGACAGAGAGAGAGGGAGACACAGAATCCGAAACAGGCTCCAGGCTCTGAGCCATCAGCCCAGAGCCTGACGCGGGGCTCGAACTCACGGACCGCGAGATCGTGACCTGGCTGAAGTTGGACGCTTAACCGACTGCGCCACCCAGGCGCCCCAAGTAGGTATTTTATAAACTTTTATATTAGTGGAGGCTGAGCGACTAGGTAATGTATTCAACCAAGGTGGCAACATTCTTAAATGGTAGGAAGAACAAATTTTTTAGGTGATATTATTTGACTTTAAAGTTCACGTTTTCAATGCAATATTTCATGATATCTTTGAAGAAAAAAGTGAAACTCCCAGATTCATACTAGTATCTGCAGAAAAATAATTTCTGAAGAATTAACATGATGTGATTTTTTTCGAATAAGATTACTTCCTTTTAGGATACTGATTATTTAGGAGATTAAAAGTGGGTGAAACCTTCCTCTTCCTTATCAAAGGAAATTCACAATATGCCTAGCTCCAGGAGGCATCTCTTAAATGAGATAAAACCAGTCATTAAAATCCCTTTTCCTTTTTTCCATATTTCAGAGAATTATTCCATGACAAAATGACTATTATTCATCTATACGTGGGTGCTAGGAGAGGACTTGTCTTTCAGGCTTAGAGGATAGCCTGGGCTTCTGTAGTGCAGAGCTTCTGAATGGCTTACCCATTTCCTACTCCTACTGAAAAATTGGGTCCCAAGAATGTTTCCTTGATGAATACTTTGGCAATTTCCAAACTGTGAGTTTTTTTCCTCTGGTTACATGATGTTAAATTACAGTGAAATCTACAAGCATTTCAAAGTACAAAGACTGCCAAGGCCTTTTCTGACACTCATTTCCTATCTACAATTACCCAACCCAAAATACATGAGGATAATACTATGAACTCTTCAGTATGGCCTTCTTTTCCTTAAAAATTTTTTTTAATGTTTATTTATTTCTGAGAGACAGAGTGCGAGTTGGGAAGGGGCGGAAAGAGAGCTAGACACAGAATCTGAAGCAGGCTCCAGGCTCTGGGCTGTCAGCACAGAGCCCCAACAGGGGGCTCAAACTCATGAACCGAAAGATAATGACCTGAGCCAAAGTCAGGCACTTAACTGACTGTGACACCCAGGTGCTCCTGATCTTCTTTTGAAATAAAATGAAAAGACCTAAGTGCTTATCTGTACTCAGTTTTTTTCACAACTTGAATTTACATTGCCAATATGAAATACTTCTTCTTGTCACTGATAACAAAACAGCCTGATTCTTAAACTGTGATATTTCTGGGTTGAAAATAGGGTTGTCCTCCTACCATTGGTAAGAACAACTTTTTAATCAACCATGATACTGTCAATAACGTATTAACCATGTCTTCCGCCGCCCCCCCCCCCCACCTCCTGTATTCTGATGCTTTGACATCTGGGGCCTTGCTGAAGCTGGAGGGATTAGAGATAGCAAACTGACCCAGAAGCATGCTTTTCAAGTGGCAAACCAAACAACCTGGAGTTCACACCCTCAACAACCTTCATTATCAGGCTCTCATACTCCAGGCCATTCCAGGGCCAGGTGGCAGACATCTATGCCCTAGAACCCTCTTGACCAACCCTGCTTCTTCCTCATGTGGACTTTTTTCTTGGGAACTATGACTATTGTCTTCGTATTTGTTGCTATTACCAAAGCTAAATAACAGGACCTTTAAAAAAAACATGTGCCTGAGGTATAATTGTATGGCAAGGGTTATAAAAACAAGGGTTTCTGAGAAGGAAGCAACATGTTAAAATTCCTCTAGTAGGTTTAAAAAATGTGGAAGATCCTGAAAATTGGAAACTGAGTGAACAAATATCAGGTGTGTAAGCCTTAAAATTCCAGAGGGATTTCAAGTTACTCTACTACATATATATTGTGTACCCATCTCTCCATTATTGTAGTTTTTTCTGATGTCTCCCTCTAGAGGCAGGAGTGGGTATGACAGTCCCATCCAGAGATAAGGTCACTTGCTGAGGTCTTAAGAGGCTAAAAATGAGTAAGGAAAGTAGAGCAGAAATGTAAATCAAGTTCTTGAGAAACATGAGTGTAGGGAGAGTCATCAAGTACCATCATCATCACCAGTCAGCCAGGATTTATGATTTTCTTTTTTTTTAATTTTTTTTTAAGAATCTTTATTTATTTTTGAGAGAGAAAAAGCAAGCAGAAGATGAATAGAGAGAGAGGAAGACACAGAATCCGAAGCAGGCTCCAGGCTCTGCACTGTCAGCACAGAGCCAGACATGGGGCTCAAACCCACAAACTGTGAGATCGTGACCTCAGTAGAAGTCAGATGCTTAACTGACTGAGCCACCCAGGCGCCCCTATGAAGGATTTTCTTAATGCTAAGCATAGTTAGGCATTAAACACATAAACATAAACATTACAAGGCCCCAATCTGAATAAGGGTTTGATCAGAGAAGCAGACCAAATGGGTGCTATAGCAAAAGGGAATTATTACAGGGATTAGACCTAACACAATTATGGGAGTTAATGAGTCTATACAAAGCTGTTGCTTTTTTGTCTAGCATTGGGACTGACATCATGACAGGTCAGCCTTGAATGTAACTTGGAGCTGAATAAAAATTAACTGGAATACACAAAGGTAAATAAAACTTACCTCTGTGTTTTACCCCATTGAGATGGTGCAGGCAAACCAGGTCCAAGGACCTAGATGGGAGTCCCACAGGTCCAGCCAAGAGGGTCCCTGGCTACTCAAAGTTAGAAATTAAACACAATTACCAGGACGTGGGAGCAGAGTTTATTGAAAATATAGAGAGAGTACAGGTACAGAGAGAGTGTCTGAGAGACTCGGAAAGAAAGGAGAGAGTCTCATCTTTGCTCAGGGTCCAGGCTTTTTATTAAGAACTTTGGTCTGGTATACATGTCCTCTTATGCATCTAGAAGCAAGTCAGAACAAAAATATGGGCCCAGGTGTCCTTCATAAGAAAATTGTTCCTTGGAATGAGAGGGTCTCGGCATCTACATATCTAGTGCCAGTGGTCTAGAATGTGCATATGATGGCTTTGTCCAGTCATTCTCACCTCATCCTTCCTTAGATCTTATCTATTGTGCTGGAAGACTCTAAAGATATCATTAACTCCTGTCTCTGACAAGGAGGACATACCCTATTTGCTCTATGAGACATGTGTAAAGTGGGGTACAGGTCCTAGCAAGAATAGAAACAGGAAAAGGAGCAAAAAAGCAGATTTTTCTGGAGTCCTTCAGTTCCCCTATCTCAGAATCTTGATAACGTAAATGACCTACAGAAGAAGCTGGCACTGTTCATCATTCACCACAGAACTATATGTACATCTGGTTCATGGCATAGAGAAATTAAAAGAGGAGATATTTAGGAAGCTGGTAGAGCTGCAGGCCTGGATACTGTCTTATGCCAGTTTCAGAATTAACAGAACAGAAACAACATGTGTGCTTTGCCAGTGTTAGGCACCTTATGCCAAATTCAGTGCCTAAAAAATCTTCTCATTCACTTCTTCTTCCAAATCTTGCACAAACTTCGATTGTGGCTGCCTCTAATCTGGATCTGCAAAGGGAAGGTGAGCTCCAACTTGGCTACATTGGCACAATAGAACACCACAAAAGTTGACCCTTTGTCAAGCTGGCATCTGTACATACTTCTTTTAGCCATACTTAGTCTCTCAGGAAAAAATAACAGCCAAGTGGTGCTTCTGCCTAAAATTATATAAGTTTCCCTTGTACAGTCAAAAACATACTAATTCTTTCTTAAAAAGGACACATTCTCTCTACCCACCTTGGGTGATGTTCTTTTCTAGATGAACCACACTGACCCTTTGATAGTTCATAACTTAAAAACTGAGATAGGAGATAACATAACACATCTTATGTCAGATTACAGGGGAATGGGAGAGGGGAAAATGCTAATTAATTAATTAATTAATGTGTTTACAAGTAGATTTATACCAGAATAGGAAGAAATATTAATAACTATTATAATCCTCAGTTCTGTAACTGTTCATGTGCTCCTAACTGCTATTTATAACTATCTTCATTGACTGACTAGCCATTCTACATAGCATTTCCTCTCAGCAATCACTTTGTTGGTCCTAATTTTTTGCCTGGTAGAGTGATCCAAACTTTGTTTCCTGAATGGTTTGGTCCATTATCAGTCCTGCCCTGAACAGAATTGTGGTTTCCCATTGCCTTTTATCATTTGTCATAGGCAATCCTCTCCATTGCCTTCTTAACCTCATTTATTTGCTAGTAGCTCTAATATCTCCAGGATAAAAGAATTATTCCCCACAGCCAGTACAATGGCCCTCTTGTTTGTCCATCAGTTCACTAACACAAGGAACCCAAATTGACTAAACAGCAACTTCAACTTCAAATTTTAATGGAACCCTTGATGTGAGCCCTGGCAGAGGCGTTCCTCTCTTGTGAACTAAAATGCCTAGATCAGAAAAACCCAAAGTCACAATTATTGTAAACAAAATTTTTGTCGGCAAATGACTGAGGCATAAAAGAGAAATAACTCCCGTTTCCATCTTTGTTTCTCAGACCTGTGAATACTGACGAGGATGAAACAACATCACATGTTAATCCCTGATTGAGTGATACTACATCCTAAGGAAATTGCCCAACCCCTCAAGATACTTCCAAGTGTGGTTGTATTTGAGTCTTCAAAATGTCATTTCACTATTCTCTCAGGACAACTGCTTCAGGATGATAGGGAACATGGTAAGATCAGTGAGTTCCATGAGTGTGATCCAACTGTCACACTTCACTTGCTTTAAAATTAGTTGTTTGGTCAAAAGCAGTGTTCAGTGGAATACCATGGTTATTAAGGCATTCTATAAATACATGAATGGGGTTCTGCCAAAAACATTGTGAACAGAGAATAAAAATCTGTATCTAGAATAAGTGCTTATCCAGTGATACTAACTCACTCTCCTTCCATGAGAAGTGTGTTCCAATGCAATCGACTTGCCACAAGGTGTAGATTAATGCTCAAAGAATCCTGTTTTTCCAGAGTATATTGGTCACTCATTGATGGTTGCTGCCAGACTGGTCGTTAGGAGTGTAAGATCACATTACTGATCCCATAAATAATACCCCTGCCAACACAGCCACTTGTGACTGTGATGGAACAATCTGACTAATACTGACAAAAATGGTTATCTTCTCCACAAAACTATTAAAATACCTTTAATCTTAGATTACCTTTTGGTGAACATTTACATGGGTCACCAGTATTTTTATATTCTCTGCCCATTTTTTTGTAGCTGTTTGTTTTTTGGTTTTCAAAGTATATTTATTTATTTTGGGAGAGAGAGAGAGCAAGTGGGGCATGGGCAAAGAGAGAGGAAGAGAGAATCCCAAGCAGGCTCCACACTGTCAGTGCAGAGCCCAATGTGGGGCTCGATCCCAAGAACCGTGAGATCATGACCTGAGCCAAAATCAAGAGTTGGAGGCTTAACTGACTGAGCCACCCAGGCGCCCCATATTCTCTGCCCCTTTGTAAAGATTTTCCCACATACCTTTACTCCAGAACTTATTGTACCAATTTTCCAGACCAGTTATTTGAAAGACTCTGGTCATTTAGCAAAACCATTATTCACTGCCTATAAATCACTGTAGATCCCTGAGTCTGAACATCTCACATTTCAGACAAAATGAACAGCCAAATGCATTGCTCAATGGTCTGCCCACTAAAAGAATTTTCCAATTTTCCTTCACAATGATCCTTCAAGGACACCCTGGAATGGGGCTGTATTTTTGTATTCATCTATTTTATGTAGTTTTACCATATCATATAGAACCACCTATCAACCAGATTCATTCTTTTGCCTTAGTCAAATTTTCATAGGGAACTCCCTATGAGGTCAAAGAAGCAGACTGAAAGGGAGGAGGAGAAACAGCAGGGGTACGAGACATAGACATCTAACCCAAAATATTCATGGGACTTTTTTATGCCTTCAGGATATACTTGGACCTAAAATTTTATAGACCAGGTCACTTGTTAATGGAGCACTGCTGTGCATACCATTGAACATCATGGTTTTATAAGACAGGTACACTCCACAGTTTATTATGACTCCACAGTTTTATTATGACTCTGCCTAATTCAATGGCAGAAATTCCATCTTCAAGGGTGGCTTACAAAAAATATCCATCCCAGAGTTCTTCATAAAAACTAGAGCTCCCCTCACAAACATACTTCTCACTCCCTTTAGTAGGAGCAGTGTCCTTCAGATCATCCTGCGGACAGAGTTTGGAATTGGTGGACCAGGCTTTACATGATAAATTCCCTGTATCAATCCAATCTCCCCTAAAAATGTGGATGCCTTCTTTTATAGTATACTAGCCAGATTGTAGAATTTAAACTTCATTTAGTGTAATCCACATTTGGGTCCAGGTTTTATAGTCTTACTGAAAGAATACTCATAGGATCAAGCAAGAAGCAAAGACAAAGGTCAAAGTAAAAGTTGAAGGGAACAAATTGAGCTAATAGTCAGATGATGCCTGCAGTTGTGTACATGTTTTAAAGAAAAAGGGTTAGGATTTTCTAGGCCATAACCCTAATTTTTGAATGGATAAACGACCCTGTGGTTCCTTAATACCCACACAAGACCTCAGCAATATCACAAAAGTTTAAATTTGTTTTCATATACACATGCTTACAACGTCAGTCCCACATTCCAATGACCTGCTGTGTCAAGTCAACTGAAACTATGGACTTCCAAATGTCTTTGAGGAAATACTAGATTCATTTTTCAACAACTTAGTTAAATACACAAGATAAAAGAATGATCATAGGAAGCCCCTTTTCACCATAGGAAAATGATATCATGCATCAATACTACTGACCAGTAGAGATAAGAAAGCTTGGCCTGATTCCACTCTAAGGTTGAAACGAGGAGGTCTGCTCTTTCTCTGCTGCTCTACATACAGCTAGGTGGGGCGCCTGGGTGGCTCCGTTGGTTAAGGTCCAACTTCAGCTGAGGTCATGCTCATGCTTTGTGGGTCGGAGCCCCACATCAGGCTCTGTGCTGACAGCTCAGAGGCTGGAGCCTGCTTCAGATTCTGTGTCTCCCTCTCTCTCTGCCCCTCCCCTGCTAGTGCTCTGTCTCTCTGTCTCTCCAAAATAAATAAATGTTAAAAAAGTTTAAAAATACAGCTAGGAAATAGACAACGAGTTTAATTTTCTGTCTTGGCCTAGAAATGCTCTCCATTGCTTCCAGCTTTTGTCGTCTCTTCTGATCCTGAGTTCCATGTTCTGGTTTCCACAGCTATGTTTTGGTTAGTTGTGCCAGTACTTTCTCAGCTGACTTGTTTTTTTCATCTCATATAAGAGAGAGTTGATGGTCTTTCCCAAACCCTCTGCCATAAGAAGCAGTTTCAGACATTATAAACTCTCATTAACTTTAAAAACCTACAATTACAAAGGATAGCAACTAGATCTGTGATAAAATAGAATGGTACAAAAAAACTATCTGGGTCCTCTGCAGAAATCATTCCTACTCCTGGTGAGACAGTCATGAGAAATCCTTGATTCCTCAGTCTAATAAATAAGTAAGGAGAATTATAGGTAATTTTTTACTACTTCATAGCAATATAATATGGTAGTATAGTTATTTATATGATATACTGACCACATGCTTGATCAAGGACTACTCTTTCTGGAAGACAGTCACCTGCTTTGTTAGGCTATTAAGGTTTTCAGTTAAGTATACAAAGAAGTTTCTTTTTATATGCATAACATGCTATTTTCTCTAGCTATAGCCAGAGTATGGTGCTACATACTGTGCATGTGGACACTCCTCCTTCATATTATCTATTTCCGTATATCACTATGCGTGAACACTTGTTTTTATAAGGACCACTGGAGAAGATGAGAAAGTGGTAGAAGAGGGGGCTGGACATCCATATTCTACTCAGCTTGCACTTGGAACTGGATTTGAGTTCCTTGTTCTGGATTTAATCATCATCTGATTAGAGGGGTCAGTACCAAATTGTGACAGTATTTTGTTTTCATAAGGCACTGTCACATTGTGGAGCATATAGAGAGGCTAAGTGAACTCTTTTCTATAAAAAGATTGTGAAACTCTAGGGACAAGCAGGTGACCCAATGTAAGAGCTATTCTTCCATCCCAGACACAGCATCCAGCACAGCTCTGATTATGGAGTGTCTGTGACTTTGGGAACAGTAGAAGATGGCATCCATGACAAAGATATTGACTTGTTCTTGCTTCAGACCATTGTTGACAGCGGCAAAGGCAAGTTTCCTGCACTTGGTAGGTAGGAATAGGATACTGACAAGGCAGGTCAGAGCGGAAGGGAAGGAGAATGAGGTTACCACATAGGTAGAGCAAGTGGCAGACTTTTCATTACAGGTTCTTATCAAATGTGCTCTTGGAAATGTCTCTGGAATGTTGATTCTTTGTTGAGTTTCACAAAGATCCCACCAGTATGACCAATTATGGCTGGAACCCTTAAAAATGTAAACACAAAAGCAACGCTGTGTAAATCATGGAAATAAAAAGCACAGCATAGAGAATATAGTCCATGATATTGTAATAGTAATATTAGAATAGTGTTGTAAAGTGACAGATTCTAGCGACGCTTGTGGTGAGAACAGCATAAGGTACAGAGATGCTGAATTGCTACGCTGTATACCTAAAACTAATGTAACATTGTGTGCCAATAATGCTCCAAGGAAAAAATTTAAAAAAATAGAAAGTAAATTTGACTTCATTTGTCTGCATAGACTTTAAGGCCAGGAATGGTAAACAAAACCAAAACCAAAGGACCTTTCCAAATAGGGACAAGGTTATTTGAGGAGGCAGAAAAGTAAGTGGGGACTCTCATTCTCTTCATATTTATTTTATTTTTGAAAAAAAATTTTTTTTCAACGTTTTTATTTATTTTTGGGACAGAGAGAGACACGGAGCATGAACGGGGGAGGGGCAGAGAGAGAGGGGGAGACACAGAATCGGAAACAGGCTCCAGGCTCTAAGCCATCAGCCCAGAGCCTGACGCAGGGCTCGAACTCCCGGACCGCGAGATCGTGACCTGGCTGAAGTCAGACGCTTAACCGACTGCGCCACCAAGGCGCCCCTCTTCATATTTATTTTAAAATGATTTTTTTTTTGTTGTATTCCACAAACATTTTCATTTTTGATTTAAAAATACATTGGGGAACTTGAATTCATGGAGAATTTCTTTGTTAAAATTGTCTCCACTACAAGTAGCAAAAGTAGGAATGCGGATTATTTGAAAATGCATTTTTTAAAAGCTTGATGCTTTTATTTTAAGCAATTCCATTCAGATTTGTGTGTTGAATCTACTTTTCATTTGATTGATTTGATTGATTTCTATGAACTGCACTATGGCTGAGAGGTTATTATGTATGGAATTTGGCACTGCTGAGATTAAAAAAGTAATCACAGGTTGTACATTATTTCTAAGAAATTGATGGTATCACACTGTTATTTACTTCAGATTTCTTCAAGGACCTTTCTTTGTTTGATTACATACCTTCCAATTAAAACGCAGGACAGAAAAATAATTCTGTCTTAAAGTAGGCATGTTTAATATGGTTTGATACATATTGAAGTCATTTCAAAAGGGAAACTTGTTCATATCAAGTAAATTAAGCACCAAGTAACTCCTGTCGCTATGTACTTTCTGTACTTTCTCGCTACGTACTTTGGCAGACTAGGAGGTGAAATGGACTTGGTAGTTTATCTGCATTGGTCCCAGCCACTACTAGCTCTTTCAAAATCCAGAACGTGGCCTCAAATTGGGACAAAATCCTTCACTAGAATGATGTCCTTCAAAATAGTCTGTTGCTATCACTGTTATCATTAAAAAGTAAAATTCATTTATTTTTTTAAAAGAATACCTGATTTTTTCTTTAAATGCGTTTTGCTGATCAGAACATATACCCCTCATAAAAATTTATGGACGTACATGGAAAACTAACTCCAAGATGCTGCCGTACTTTTGCACATGAGCAGACTGCTGGCAGCTAATCTCCCTGATTATGCAAAGATGGAATTATAGCGAGAATTACTGACAGGCTGGTACGTTTGGATTTCCCACTTCAAAAGTGGTGAATTGTTTCCTTTATGTTCTGTGACAAATGACCTACCTAGCTACTTGGCCATGCAGAGAAGCTTGGAATGATCACAGAAGCTGACAGGGCCGCTGATACTGTGGAAGGCTGGCTGCAAAAAAGTAATGTCTGCTAAAAACAGGTCCTTCCAGTATAATCAGGTAAATATTCTTTGAGTTACAAAATGTTCTATGAGCTGACTCTTAAAATTACTATCAAGTGTAGGAATACATTTAAAAGAACACTCAAACTTTGTTTACACTATTTAGAACAAATTCAGAAATAATATATGGTCAACTATAGCAATGTATATGTGTGTGTGTGTATTTGTGCATGTATGTGTATATACACAAACATCTGTATATAATATATGCACATATAAGCATATATATGTGTGTGCATATGTGGTGACTAAGAACAGAGAACTGAAATGAAAACGTCAAATGTGAGCTTCGATCTTTGATTTAGGAATATATACAATATTTATTAATAGATTGTCAGGAGACTTCAATTATTTCCTCAAATTTTACAATATACTGTTAAGTGTATATGTAGTGAGCTATTTATGTAAGGATTGATATTTTTAGACTATAATTATCTATTAGACTTTTTGATACCAGAGTCATCTTTCTTCTAGGAAAGCGTGTCTAGATCAGGGTTTGAATTTATTGAATGTTCTACAAAATAAAAGAAATTAGGAAAGCATCTTGACGGGGCAAGACGGTCAAGAGAGAGATTTTAGGATGGTAGGGTCCTGAGCACAGTTGTCCTAACAAAAGGTGTAACAAAGCCTAACAAATATGAAGCAGTGTTCACAACTAAATGTGTAGACAAAATGAAAGCCCAAACACTGGCCATGTGCTCAAAGAAAGCAGAGCTTCCAGGAGCATGAGAAAGAAACTCAAATGATTGATTGATTGATTGTGACTGAAACCCAGCTTCATAAATAGAAACTTCGTGTCAGGAAGCATCTAACTATAGTATAGAACAGCCATGGGAGAATAGGACTGTTCTTTCTGATCAAGGATTTCAGATTGTTTCTATCAATCAGAACTATCTGAAGAAAAGGGCGCCTGGGTGGGTCAGTTGGTTAAGTGTCTGGCTCTTGATTTCAGTTCAGGCCATGATCTCATAGTGTCATGGGTTCCAGTCCTGTGGTCAATGAACAGAGCCTACTTTGGATTCTCTTTCTCCCTCCATCTCTCTCTGCCCCTCCTGCTCACACTCTCTGTCTCTCTCTCTCTCTCAAAAAAGGTTTTTTTTCTGAAGAAATCTTACTCAGATTGATTAGATTGCCCTTCTGGTGCAGGGAGATCAAAGGTCCTTTACATTCTACAGATGTGCAGATAAAGTAAGTTGCTCGGTTCGACCAGAAATTCTTGGAAAGTCCTAGAGACCACACATAGCGGTGAGAAAAGTCTGTCAATGATTCGTTACTGATCCATGATGCTAGCACCTGTCCTTTGAGGAAACACAATATCATTTCCTCTAATATACAAATGATACAATGCAAGTTTAAAATGGCAAAATGTTTAAGGTCACAGTTAGAAATAGGATGTAAATTAAGCCTTTTTAATTCCAAGTTAAACATTCCTTCCATTAGGCCAGACTGATGTGTAATATAAAGGACCATCTCATTCCTTTCTCCATTTCTCTATCCTTCACTTCATTGCCTTCCTGTTTTTCCAAAACTCCTGTCAACTTCCAATTCTCTCTCTGTTTCTTTTATGAAAATCAAACTTTGACATTTTATTCTACACTCTGTATGCCAACAGAAATTTAGTTATTTAGGCACTTCAGGATAATATTAGGTATTATTCCTCTAGTCAGGAGTTTGTGAAGTTGAAATTATATCTCTCACTGGCCCTATGCAAATGAATGTGGTCAATTGTCTGGATTTATATCTATATTTCTTGATCTCTGATTGTGTAACACAACTCACTTTTGAAATGCACAAAGAGTTTTTTTTAATTGTAATTATCTTTTAAAAATTGAAGGTGCTTAGCCTTCTTTAGTACCAATCATCATACTATCATCTATGTCTGAAAAAGTCTTTGAGTTTCTTCCAATTAGGAAATCGTTTCTCTGGTGAAAATTCTTTGGGAGCTTCTACTCTTAAAACTATTATGACCCTGTGCAATAGCTGAGTGTTAGCATTTACTGAGTAATTCAATCATGTGACAACTGTGATGAACTTCCTATGTACATCTGTCCTCCGGTCAAGTGGAGCAGAGGCTGCCCAACACAACTCTTCCCACCGCAATCCACTCCTCACTTGATTCTACCTGAAAATAAACCCAATGCTTACGTCAGAAAATCTTGTTTATTTAACCCCTTTAAGTCCTCAGGTTGTAGTTTTCAAATGAGAAGAAATTCAAACCACGAAAGGAGCTTATTCAAAATTACAAGTTGTGTTTTCCTCAACTTGTAGGATTTGTTCCCTTTTGCCCACACACAGCAACTCTGGCAATTTAACGTGTTGATAAATCATTTATTCCATGTGCTACTTATCTAAAAAGCAGGTCGTGTTAAGAAAATAGAAGCTATATGACAACCCTCTACACTTTAGCTGATGAGTTGCTGAAAAATATTCACACAGTTAAGCACAATGTTAAAATCTAAAGATTTCTGGTATCACTATCACATCACATCTTGTTCTATCTCAGTAAGTCACCTCACATTTTACCTCAGAGAGAAAACTGAAAATATCAGATTCTCACTTCTCTCTCAATCAACTTACTTATATTTATAGCATCATTTCCTCCTTATCAGAAGTATAAACAAAGTTTTTCTCTCTTTGTTCAAGGTGTTTCCTATATTTATCTAGATCTATTTTACAACCTTCTCCTCAGACTTGCTTTTGAAACTACATTCTTGCTCCCATGCTTTCAAATCTTCTTTCTCTCCCAAGTATTTTTCTTCAGTACATAAATGATGTAAATACTCTGTTTTGAAATTTAAAAAGTAATTTTATTTTATATTTTTAAATATAATTTATTGTAACACCCAATGCTCATCACCCATTTTCCCTCTCCGCACCCCCACCACCCGTCCACCCTCAGTTTGTTCTCTGTTTTTAAGAGTCTCTTGTGCTTTGCTTCCCTCCCTCTCAGTTTGTAACTATTTCTTTTTTTCCCCTTCCCTTCCCCTATGGTCTTCTGTTAAGTTTCTCAAGATCCACATATGAGTGAAAACTTATGATATCTATCCTTCTCTGACTGACTTATTTCACTCAGCACAAAGAGTCTATCATTCTAAAACAAGACACAAGCTGCACGAGAATAAACCCACTCTTTTTCTGTGTGGCAAAAGTAGATACTTATCTCAAAGTATTTATTTCCCTTGTTTTTCCTGAACTTGTGAGTGTTTTGCCATTTTATTTTCCCATGTTATATTCTCTCTTTTTAATTTATTTTTATTTTTTAAAGTTTATTTATTTAATTTTTGAGAGAGAGAGAGAGAGAGAGAGAGCGAGCAGGGGAGAGGCAGAGAGAGAGGGAGAGAGAGAGAATCCCAGGCAGGCTCAGAGCCTGATCCTGGGCTCAATCTCATGAACCAGAGAGATCATGACCTGCGCCAAAATCAGGAGTCAGACACCTAATTGACTGAGCTACCTAGGCACCCCTATTCTTTTCTTCTTCTTCTTCTCCTCCTCCTCCTCCTCCTTCTCTTTCTCCTCCTTCTCCTTCTCCTTCTCCTCCTCCTCCTCCTTCAATTTTATTTTATTTTATTTTATTTTATTTTATTTTATTTTATTTTAT